GGAGGAAGAGGCAAGGAGTGGGGGAAGGGAAGGGGAAGGAGAGAAGGAAAGAAGAAAATAGAAAGGGATAGAAGAAGGAAGGGAAGGGAAGAAAGAGAGGAAAGGTTGTTGTAAAATAAGAGAGAGAGAATGGTAGAAGAGCAACTCCGAATATACCTTAATTTTTTAGGATGAAGAATGAACTAATATGAAAGTCAAAAGATAATATGTATAATTAACAATGGATAAGAGACTGTACATTTAAGTGTATTTATGAGAAATAAAAATAAAAAACTTTTTTTAAAAAACTGTCCACCCTGGAATATTTTGTTTGTTTGTATTCCTAACCATGAAGAGCAACTCTAGATACTTACAGTGCAAATAAGGCCAAGTAATCTCAAACTAATTACAGATTCTTGTTTTCCAAAAACGGAACTTGCTTATTTTGGTATATAAACAACAGCTTAAGGCAAACTCTATTGAATCATGTGATCTGTTATTTCAACTTCTTTAGAACAGATGGCCTTTTCTGTAGATTTTCTTGCACCAGAAGGTAGAGAATCACTGACTCCTGCTAATGCCAAAAATGAAAATCCATATAAGCCTGGGGATTCAAGTCTGATACTTTAGCTAAGCTATTCTTACATGGGAATGGAGAACTAGATGTTGTTTAATACATCGTGATTCCACTCCAAAGGACAAGTTTATTGACCAGAGAATTTGGCTTAATCCATCCTAAACAACTGTTTTATGACAGTTCTTTCTCATTTTCAGCAGAAATAGCAAAACATAATTTAAGTTCATAATCTTTGTACTTTATTTGCTGATTCTTTTAACAAAACAATGGTTCTCATGTATCTCTCTTTATTGTGTAATTTATGTGCCTGGTTCACCTGGTTCATGGAATTTAATTGGATCTACACAACACTGACAAGTTTTAACATTCCTCTGTTTTCCAGTTGCCTCTGCCATCGTTTTAGTTTCTGCTTAACATTCATTAAGCAGCACAGTAGTTTTGCAGGAATATGGATACAATATGCCTATAGTTCTTAAACAGGAGATAATTAAGCTCAAGGGGTTAATTTGGACAAATCCTGAGGGTCACAGAGCAATGTATAATTGCTTCTTTGTGAGTCAAGGATCCAGTTTGGGACTGCCATGAGACACTTGTATAAAAATCTGGATGTAAAGGAATTATTTAATATTGGGGGAAAGGTTAAATGTGTCAATTTAGGAACCACTGCAATATGCAATAAATAAATGGTGAGGAAAATGTCTTTGTAAAAGATTATAGAGTTGTGGGGATTTTTCTTAATTCTCAGTTATTCAACTTGCACTTTCAGTCATATTATACACTGATGAACAAGTATTCTGAGAAGCACTTGGCACCTTCCCTGTGTTATTTTACAAACAAATGAAATGAAGCTATATTATGTAATCCAAAGCAGCTGATATTAAGAGTGACAGCTGTAATTCTAGTAAATGAAGGCAAACATACATGTTCCAGCATAATGTTGCAGGATCACCACGCCCAGAGCTTTAATCTTCCGAGTGTCAGCTTTGGAAGCCACATTAGCACCAGAAGCTTCCAAACTGCCACCTTCTTGTGTGTGGGAAAGTAGGAGGGGGGATTTAGTAGAGGGAATGTAGTTCGACAAAATACCATTCTTCTTTTCGGTCAAGGTCATGACAGTCCTGCATCTGGAGAAGGAGTGGTTGGAGTGATGTCTGGAGATGGGACGGATGGTGATTGGAGCATGTGATGGATTGGTGGCTGCAGGGAATGGATTTGGGGGTTTTGATTTACTGAGAGAAAACCCAGAACTCTCAGATTTGGATTTTCCCAGATGTGCCAGTATACCTACTCTAATAAATGGAACTTTGAGAAAATGCTTGCCTCGGAGTTTAATTGGAATTGGGTTTTTCTGGAACACTGACACCGAGCTTTTGGATTTGTGCTGGAGCCCATCCTCATGAACCTCAGAAGACAAAATCTCTGGTCTAGTCTTCAGAGCTTTTGGACATAATGCTGGAGCCCATCCTCATGAGAATGGGCTCCAGCACAAGTCTAAAAACTCGGAAGACTAAACCTCTGATCTTGGTGACTGACTCAGATTGGGTCTGTAATTCTAGTGGCAGACTGAATTCCCATTTACCAAACTGGCTAATTTCATTTTCTACTCTGTCTATTTATTTGATCTGTTTTGGGGGGAGGGGGTTCCACTTATAAAAGTGTTCAGAGAAAGGATGCATATTGTGTGTTTAATTGTGCTTCTCCTCACAATTCTGGCTGTCATGGTAAAAAGCAGAAAGTGCAGGCAGCAATACCAATGAACAAGGTAAAGCAGTAGGATCAGAAGGCTCCAGATGTCCCTTGAGCCTCTAAAGCTGTTGGCAGGTGATCCACATGTTATTCTTCCAATTTTAAAACATGCTGCCGATTAGTCACAACATTCTTGTCTGATGCCAATTATTTATTTTGGCCCATGCTTATTTGAAGGGGTACCTTATGCCCAAGTAGTTTGGTCTAAGGATCAAAATAGAACATAGCTTGCTTTCTCAGTTATATTGAGTCCAAAATGGGAGATGTGAAATTACATTTTAACAGTAAATGAACCAAGGGGCTTCCTCAGTTGAAATACTCGGTTTCTGGTTTTGTGCTTATTGATTTATTTAGCTACTGTTGCAGAAAATATATACTAAGACTAATCTTGGAATGCCCACAAAATATTCTCTAAATCACTGACTTTCACCATAAATAATTTTGTAATTTTGGAGAGTATGTTTTTTGTAAGTGGTGAGGAGTACCTTTCAACTCTAAATGTATCATTTCTGCAATGTATTGGGTTATTGCCCATGATCGTCCGCTGTTGCTTGATTATCCGTGGTTGCCTGTATGTCTTGAAATTCTTGCAGATTCACTGGAGTTCCTTTAGGACAGCATTTCTTACCCTTGTCAAATTCTTTAAGTTGTCTGGAGCTGGACTCCTGGAATTCCGTAGGCAGCAAGGGGAATTCTGGGAGTTGAAGTCCAACTATGACCAATATCTTCGAATTGCTAAGAACCAATATTGAGAAACGCTGTTCTAAAGGTTTCAGAAAAGCAGCAGAAAGCCTAGTGAGTGCTAAGTCTAATGAGTTTGATCAACTGTGTGATTAATCAGTTGTGTGATCAATAACACAGTAGTGATTGACTATATAGTATTGTAAAATAAAAGCCTTTTAATTCTTACTTTCTAAAGGGAGGAAGAGCAGCAAAAACAATAAACAAACAGATATAGGAAGAGTAACACTTATATGATTTTACACATACCAGCTGAATATAGATTTAAAGAAAACACCTGCAGAAAATGAAATAAACTGGGCTCTATTGATGAGCCTCTTATTTAAAACAACAAATCATTTCCTAAAAATAAGCAACCAGAATATTAATTAAAAGGAGTGCACTATTGTATGACATAGATAAGTATTTGATAATGAAAACGTATCAGGGAGAGTAACCCTAAAAAGCTACAGCATAAAAGGTGAAATGCGACCAACAATATGGCTCATCCCAGAAACAGTAGTCAAAATATATCATAGCAATCAAACACTGTTTCTGCACTCTCAGGAAAATCACAGCATGAATTTGAGCAGCATTTCAGAGATGCTAAATTAAATCCATCAATGCACTGAAGAAAAGATTGGCCTCGCACATTTCATCTGAAACTAACCTAGTTAAGCAGAATAACTTGGATCCTACAAAAGTAATCTTTATGAACACCTACCACCAGCATATCAGGTTCAAAAGTCATCACATATAGCTTGCCCCTTGCAAGAATATGGTTTCATTCCATGACCCTGACCATTTTTCAAATATCTTGCTTCAGTATCTTAGCATCTAGTATCCATCATATTTATACAGGTAGTCCTTGACTTACAACTTGCAACACAATTGGGTTGTGCTGCTAAGCAAGGAATTAGGCAAATCATGCTAAATTTTACCACATTTTTTGCTATGGTTGTTAAGCGAATCACTGAAGCTAAGTGAATCATGCGATCATTCAGCGAATCCAGCTTCCCTCATTGCATCTGCCTGTAAGAAGACAGCAGGAAGGTCACAAATGGCAGTCACATGACTCCACAACCATTGTAAAAGACATGCCAGTTGTGAAGCACCTAAATTTTGATCATGTGACTGTGGGGATGTTGTGATGGTTATAAGTGTGAGGAATGGTCACAAGACACTTTTTAAAGTGCTGCTGTAATTTCAAATGGTTTCTAAACATGGTTGTAAGTTTAAAGTGCTGTTGTAATCTCAAATGATTGCTAAACATGGTTGTAAGGTTGTACCAACTTCTACCTTTCTCCCAATTCATAACTGAGTGGAACTTCAGCATAAAGCATCCCAATTGCAATAACTGGTACAGTGCCCGGTAGCTACCAATTCTAGACTTCTTCTGTGACACTCTGTGCTAACAACAACACTGTTGTATGCAGTTTTTATTTTAACTAGGCATCTATATAACTAGCTTTAACTAATATTTGGAAATGGCAATAATATTAGTTCTGGTTTTCATTGACTGGTTGCTGGTTTTTATTCTACTAAATGTTTATTCCTGCATATATATCTTGTCTTTTTTCTGTAAGCTCAAGATGACATGCATAAGATCCAGTGGTGGGTTTCAAAAATTTTTACTACGGATTCTATGGGTGTGGCTTGGTGGGCGTGGCAGGGGAGGATACTGTAAAATCTCCATTCCCACCCCACTTCAGGGGAAGGATACTGTAAAATCTCCGTTTCCTTCCCACTCCAGGGGAAGGTTACTGCAAAATTCCCATTTCCTCCCAATCAGCTGGGACTCGGGAGGCAAAAAATAGATGGGGGTGGGGCCAGTCAGAGGTGGTATTTACTGGTTCTCCAAACTACTCAAACTTTCTGCTACCAGTTCTCCAGAACTGGTCAGAACTTGCTGAAACCCACCTCTGATAAGATCATTCTTTCTTACCAAGTTTTTTTTGTTGTTCTCCCCACTCACAAGGAAGCAAAGACAACAGAGAAGAAGAAAGAGGCAAAGGTTCTTGAAGACAAACGTAAGGAGCCTTACAGCAGAGATCTGAAAAAAAGTAGAACTCCCGATCCAATAAAGGAAGAGAAAAAAGAAGAACAGGTACAGAAAGCAAATCAGAAGGGAAAAGATGAAACAGACAGCAGTAACAAACTAGGACAAGGAAAAGAGAAAACCGGTAAGGATGAAAAAAGGTTTTCCAAAGAGAAAGAAAAATCCATGGCGGCAGATAAACGTGTAACAGGCCAAGTGAAAGGGGAAGAAAGGGGTAAACTGCTAAAGAGCCGGTCAGTAGATGATAAAGGAAGAGAAGAGAGGGCGGCAGAATATAAGAGAGGGACTGGGTGGGACAGAAAGACTGAAGATAAAAAAGAATGTGAAAAAATAGGAGAAAAAAGATCAGCTTTAAAGCCAGTCTCAAAGAGAGAAGATAAAAAAGAACCCACCAAAGCAGCAGAAATAAGTTCAACTACAAAGCCAGGCTCAAAGGTTGACAACAAAGAGAAACCCTTGAAGGATAGTAAAGGAATTCCAGAAACAAAAGTCCCAACTGTAGAGCAAGAGGACATTATCCAAGAGCCTCCTGATAGCAGCCCCTCTAAATCTGCAGACAGTTCTTCAAACCAGAACAAGGAGGATGATGCCACCAGCATCTTTGATGAACCCTTGGAAAAGATCAAGAATAATGACCCAGAGATGATAGAAGTTAACGTCAACAATTCTGACTGCATCAACAATGAGATCCTGGTACGCTTTGCTGAGGCCTTGGAATTCAACACGGTGGTCAAGGTCTTTGCCCTGACCAACACGCGTGCTGATGATCATGTTGCATTTGCCATTGCCATCATGCTAAAGTCCAATAAGAGTCTGACAAGTATAAATCTAGATTCCAATCATATCACAGGCAGAGGGATCCTGGCCATCTTTCGTGCGCTGCTGCAGAACAACACTCTGACGGAGCTGCGCTTTCACAATCAGAGACATATTTGTGGAGGGAAGACCGAGATGGAGATAGCCAAGTTGCTGAAAGAGAACACCACATTGCTGAAACTGGGCTACCATTTTGAATTAGCTGGGCCACGCATGACAGTCACAAACCTGCTAAGCAGGAATATGGACAAACAGAGACAGAAACGCTTACAAGAGCAGAAACAGGCCCAGGAAAAGCTGGAGAAGAAGGACTTCCTTGAGGTGCCAAAGGCAGGATGTTTGCCAGCTGGCTCACCAAAGATTTCTCTAAAACCATCCCCCAAAACCTCCCCATGGTCTTCCCCTAAAGCTCCTCCTAAGAAATCTGGCACCCCAGATGCTCCTCCTCCTCCACCCCCACCTCTAGCCCCTCCACCTGCTCCTCCTTTGATTAATGAAAATTTACGCTTGTCCCTTTCTCCGGCCACTCAGAGGAAGATGGTGGAGAAAGCACTTCCTCCCCAGGAGAAGAATTCCAGAGATCAACTTCTGGCTGCCATTCGCTCTACCAACAAGAAGCAGTTGAAAAAGGTACATCATTATAGCACTAAGCTATAATGTACACATTGACTGAACCTTGTGGTTTATACTCCATATTTTATGCATAGTGCCATATATACCATGCTGGGATGCAACACTTGACAGTTATTGCTAGGTTCAATAAAGCTATCACATTGATAATGCTAGTTATTTTAATGCTTACTTGCACATAGTCACCTCACATTTCTGTGTCTAATGATTGGAGCATTTCTCCAGGGGCTACATTCCTTAGGCATTTACTAACATCTCCTGTTGGATTTTATGTTTACCGACAAAGAAATAAAGGGAGACTAGTATAGATCTATTTCAAGCTATTTAGCTCTCATCAGCTAGCTTCTGGATTCAAATCCCAGAAGAGTATGGCTAGCTGATGAGAGCTAAATAGCTTGAAATAGATCTATACTAGTCTCCCTTTATTTCTTTGTCAGTAAACATAAAATTCAACACAAAAATAGTTTGTCGTGAAAGCGACTGCCTGCGAAGGTTCCTGGATTGGAGCTGAAAAGCTGAAGCAATATCCTCCATGTCATAATCAGGTTTTTTCCCACCGGAAAAAACACTTCATCTCCTGTTGGAGTTTCACACACAAACGGCCTCCATTTAGCAATTCTGTGGGAAGATGGATAGCTAAAACACCACCTCTGTTTACCCACTTATTAAGATCATCTCTTCAATTATCTTCTGGAGATAAAACAGACAGCAATTGAGACATGATATCAAGATCTTTTAGGTTTCAGCATCTGCCTTTAAAAACACTATTCTCAACAGACAACCCCTTTTTGACAAAGCTATTTTAGGACTAATCTAAATTAGGATGTGCTTTTTAATAATAAAGCTATCTAAGATGGGAGGGAGCCACAAAGGGCTGATGGAAGAGAATGAAAGAGGAGATATTAACATGCTTGTTTGTCTGATGAACTGTTGTAACCTTGAGTTGCTATTTGGATCTCCATTAGATGCCTCTAACTTGAGAATTTGTACTAAGTTCATGTCTTATTTTGGCAGGTGGAGGTTCCCAAGTTACTTCAATAGTAGGGAGCGGAATCTTGGACAGTGGAGATTGCCAAGGCTGAATCACTGTGTTTGTCTCTCGGGTGACTGTTTACATGAGAAGAACGCAACGGAGCAACAGCCCGCCCTGTGTTAGTCCCAGATGAACCGTGTTCTCTGTGGGATTAATTTGGATACAAGAATTACATGGATTGCCAAAAGGCGTTGTTATCAGGAAGAAGTTATATTTATTTTTAGTCCTTTTTAATAACAAAACTTGTTTTTGTCCTGAAAAGAAGGATCTGCAGATATGGTATATTTGGGCTTTTTGTCTAGTTTTTCCTTGTGGGAGCTCAGAAAGTAAAGGGGCAAATGTGATCAACCTTGAAGAAGTCTGAATTTGGGGTATCTCTGCTTATCTCATCATTTGCCAAGCAGCAACGTTGCAATCGCTTGCCACTAGGAACATCTAAAGAGCTACACTGGAGCAGCAGCATCATGAGAAGGTGTCCAGCATACTGTCGGTACAAGAAGACTCTAAATGGAGCCATGTCACATTTATACCCATTGCTGCTCGATTGAAATGGCAATGTCATGTTTTGTTTTGCCTGAATACTGAAGCAGGAGGGTGGGGGAGGAATTGTGGAGACAAAAGTCATTGTTCAATGTCTCTGTGATTTCAAGGATTCCATTTCTCGGATAGCAAAAAACAAACACAGGTTCTTACAGGCCATGGCTCCTTTGGTGAAAAGAAATGGGTATGTGCTCCACATTTGATTCCTAAAGACTTGTCATGGTGCCATGATGTAGCTGTAAGCAAAGGCAGCTGAATGGACTGCGTTCCTGCTGGGTCTGGGGCTCTGCTGCTTCTACTTCTGAAGTAAACAGCAGTTTCCCAACTCATTTTAGAATTTACAATACTTAATTTTAGAATTCATGTAAGAGAAAAAGAGCAAGCTTAGCTGTCAGTGGGAAGTAATGAAAAAGGCAAGGAGTCCACATATATAATCAGCTGAACTTTGGAAACTCAAATTTGAAAAATTCAGGAGCATCTTTAGGGCTTGGGGCAAACAATCAGTTTGAACTTTATCTAATCAAGTGGGCCATAACTTAGAAGATCACATCAAATATCTTTCAAGACATTTGTTTACTATAGACATGGGAATAAATTTGGGGACCAGAAGGTTTTTGTAACACTTTTTTAAACTATGCTGATTTGTGGAAAGAAACACTCTCAAGGAAGAAACATTGTTTTGGAAATGTCCATCAATATGCCATGTTATGTGGACTTTGAGAATGCTATGTGCTCCATCTACTCTGTGTCAGCTTCCTTTCCTTGCAAACTCGGTCTTCCTTCCCTCCAAATGAATCCCAGTTTCATGAATTATATTTTTAGCATAATAGCTGTCAAATACTTTCTGGTAATATGTGGCTCCTTAGCATCACATTGCGGTTGGATCACATGGGTGTATACACCCTCATCCGTCCTGATGAAGGGCATGGGATGCTGACAGAACACTGAAGTCAGTCATCAGTAAGGAGTCTTGACATGGCAAATAAACTACAAATGGAATGTATGAAGTGATCCTAAAAGTATTCTCCAAAGCACCTGAAGGCAGAATGAGATGCAATGGATGGAAATTAACCCTAACCTAGAAATAAGGAGAAATTTCCTGACAATTAGAACAATTAATCAGTGGAATGGCTTACCCTCAGAAGTTGTGGGTGCTCCATTACAGGAAGTTTTTAAGAAGAGATTGGACAACCGCTTGTTTGAAATGATATAGGGCAGGGGGTTGGACTAGGAAACCTCTAAGGTCCCTTCCATTTCTGTTATAGTAGAGGAATGACAGCAATATTTTGAGAAAATTGTTGAATCTGTTTTCAGTCTCAAGAATCTCCCCCCCTCCCGCCCCCGCCGCCCCATCTGGCTTTTCTGTACGTACTGGCTACACATCCCCATTCATTGGTCATGCAAAATATGACAGTGTAGCCCAACACTTCAAGAGGATATCAGGTTTGTGGGGTCAGCTTTGAATGAAGTAGATACCACAAACAGCATGAACTGGACAGGGAGCACCAAATACTTGACCTGAAGAAGAACGTAATAGACAACAATAGTAAAGGGACTATTTTCTTCTTATTATTTTATTTGCTCTATGAAGGGTAATGAAGCAAGAGCAACTCCATCAGCAAACCAGTTTAGCTTCCTGGTAGGCTCAATAATTTCCTGTATCTAAATCCAAGTATTGAATTCAATTAATTTCTGGCTTGGGCTGTAAATTAAAACATATTTTTGCGTTTAAGTGACTTTAAGAGATTAATATATAAATGAACAGATAAATCTAACTCTCTTGGAGCCATGTTTCATGGCTCACACAAAATGCCAAAGTGTATCTGAATTGAGATAATGCAGGCTTGTGTGCAAGTGTATGCAATTACATGTTTTTCATCTTCTTTCCAAATAAGGAAAGCACTGAAGAAATCTCAGCAGCCTGATAGAAAGCAGCAAGAATTCACAGCTATTAACAAAAATACAGCTCCCTCTCCCAAACTGCATGTCTTCGTATTTTCAAACACAAGTGGTATACCTACCGAGATATGTTGGTTTCCATTTCCCATCATCTCCAATCAGAATGACCAGGCTAATGTATGGAGATTATGACTTGACAAAGGTCTTCTTGTTCTGACCAAATGAAGAAACAGAGACAAGCAATTCTTATTCACATTTGTGAAATATCTGAAGAGATGTTATGTGTGCTTCAATTATCTTTTAATAGGCAGAGGATAGGGGAAAGGTATGCTTGCTGAAGAGAAAGGTTTATATTTTCATCACATTTGCAAAAATAATGGAGGGAAAAAGAAAACCAAGAGACAAACCACCTGAGCACGTGATCTCAAAATGCAGACATTTTTGCCATTTTCAACTGTTTCTCTTGAATTTTGCATTATGTATAGCATTGCCTGCACTTTCATTAATAAAGCTCACAAAATGTCCCCCGATTGTGAGTAATGAAACATTCTGGCCCAGAGGCTGTGAAACTCTTCAGATGTGCTAGTTTGTACAGAAAGTACAAACTTGATTGATGTGTGAGCTGGACTCCACAAAGTGTGCCTAAAACCCTTCAATGGAATCATTTTCCAACCTGTCTCCCAACTGTTTAAAATTATAGCTATTTCACAATGGGTAATATGGTTCTGATTGGTCTGATCACTGAAGCCAGATTTCTTATTTTAGATTTTCCATTCCCAGGATCATTTCGGCTCTAAAACCTGAGACGACAAAAAGGTTGCTCTAACTACTGACCAGAGTATAGAATTTAATATATACTTTTATTGTGATAAATTACCTAGATCTTTAAAAAAAAAGATACAAAAGTATAATAACCTTGAACTCAGGATCTGATGATGCCTTTTTACTTAATTTAAAGCTGCTCAAAATTTAGCCACAATACAGTTAATGCTAGCATTAGAATGAAAAAGTAGCAACTTTATGTATGTACAGTATAGTAAGTGTTTGTAGAGGATATTGTCACAGAAAAGATGGAAGTAGGAAAATTCCTTACATCCCTGTAGAAATTGCAGTACAGAGCAAATCACAAGGGCAAACTGATTAGGATAGGGGACTTTTGGTGTATCTCCTCAGGAGACAAGCACTGATGGTCATAAGTTGTTCTGTGCATAGAATTTTAAGAAATTCTATTCCACTTCCACTGGAGTGGAAGATTCCTGTTTGCATACAAACACAAATCCTCCGTGTGGTCTGAGTGTGCGGGGCGTCGTGCCAGAGGGAAGTAGCTTCTCCCTCACTGCCAGATCACTGGGTTGCTGGCCAACACTGCAAAAACTGAAGATCCGACTGAGTCCAAGGCAGCTGAGTTATTTCTCTGAAGCCCAGAGAAATGTCTATATTTGGGCATTTTGCATGGAGTAGCCCAAGCAAAGCTTCATTCCTTTGCACTCCACAAGAGTGGGAAGCCTTCCAGCTGCCCAGAACAGCCCGGAGGAGAAGAAAAACAACGCCTGGTTTGACACAGCTCTCCCTTAGTCATTCACAGCCCCATCTTTTCTTTATTGGTTTCCATTCTTGTGGCTCCTCTGCCATTGTCACTGCATGTGCATGTCTGTTTATTGTCAACCAATACACATTTGTTATTGAAATACCTACGGACTTGTTGCCGTCACAGATGTCCCTGATTTTGTAAGTTTGTACCACATTTGGCAAATGTTCTATAGATAATTATCATGGATAATCAGGAGAGGCTGATGCTTTCATGATACACAAATGACAGATGGTATGAAAACAATACCATATCTTCTGAAGTTTCATTTTCCCACAACTTAGAAAGTATTTTTGGTTTATGGTTATAACAGGCTGCAGTCTGGCTTACTGTTTCTTATTCACTTTCTGCACTGTGTCATGTTGCTTACCATGGGTATCGGGGTTGTCAAAGGAGCAGGGAGAAGTCAAGAACTATGCTGAAAGTGCCCAGGTTATTGAAGCCTCACCACCTTTTCGTGTGTGAGAGACACACAGCATAAAGCATAGGAAAAGGGGTGGTCTGTGATAGCCTGATCATAGCTGTGATAGCTGTGGACCTACTGATGAATGCCTGCTGGTGCATGCGTGTGAGCATATGCTTATAATTAGTCTGGCCAATCCACTAAGGGTGAGAGTCCAGATTGATGATCAGTCTGGTAATCCTGGAAAAAGAAGGAAAAGTGATCTTTGTGGCTCCTTCCATACTTCTATATCTGCAAGGAGAGGAGGTTCCCGCTTTCTTCACAGCCAGGCTTCCTCTAAAAACAGCAGGTAGAATTCCAACATAATTTACATCAGAAGAAAAGTCTTCTGGAATGTCTGTTCTTCCAATGCATTTTATCACATGACATGACATGACATTTATAGTTCCTTACATTCAAGTATCTTGAGTAAAGCTGAAATGTCTGGCACCAAAAGACACTTTGGGCTTCTTCAATGCAATTGGAGAGAATGCTATAATTTAATATAGATGCACAGAGCCCATTAATCCCGAGTAGTTTAGCCAGGGCTGAAACAACAAGTATAGAAAAATTATACATAATGATACTTGGTACCCTTGACTGAAAAACAGGCTTCTGGTTTTTATAGTCTCATATTGTACCACTTTTACATCAGAGTAAGTAGATACTGTTTCATCAACCCTCATTCCCTTCCTCCCTGAAAGAACCCAAGAACCTACCCAGAAGTAATGGCAAGAAGCTGGGTTGTTCAATGTAATTTTTCCTGAAAGCATGAAACAGTAAAGCCAAAATGGCACAAAGCCCACTCCAGGCCTTCATTCCAAACAGGTGTTCTAAAGAAACAATTTGTTGTGGTCAAAACATTTCTGTATAAAATGCTTTTTCTTAGTTGACACGAGAGCAGAAATTGGACGACAGGCAAAGTTTTGGGGCACTTTGTTTTTATTTTCTAAGCATTAGAAACAGAATGGGAGAGTTAAAGCAATGGATCTTGCAATCATGATCAGAAAAATCTACGTAAAAAGAGTGAAGCAATGGATTTTAAGTGAGCTTTGTAGACGGAATGCTGAAATTGCTTATGCCTTAAACCGGAAGAGCTCTCTGCTCTCTATTAGCTGGTTTTTCAATTTTGGTAATAACTCAGCACTGTAATGAATGAAAAAGAGTTTGGGACAGAATGCCCTCATGTGGCAAGATTTTTACCTCATATTATCAAGAGACAAATGTTGCTTTCAAGTGGATAGTTCCTAGTGCTACTACCTGCAATACTTTTGCAAATATTCCATCTTTTCCTCCAAACACACTTTGGAAGAAAAAGAGTATAAAGACATTGGGGAAAGTACTATGACACTGCACATATGATTCCATATTTTGTAGCATTTGTTGTTGGAGAAGACTCCGGAGAGTACCATGAACAGCCAAGAAAACAATGGATCATCAAATAAATCAACCCAAAGCAACTCATTGGAGGTATAAATGACCAGGCTCAAATTATCCTACTTTGGACATATTATGCAAAGACCGGTACTCTGGCTCCAATACTGGGAAAGGAAGGAGGAAAGGATGATCAGCAGCAAAGCAGACAGACACTGTAGCAGTGAGTGTACCAGTGGTGGGTTTGGACCGGTTCACAAGAACTGGTAGTAAAACTGGCGGGAGGCCCCACCCACTGCCCCGAATGTCATCATCAGCGATCTGTGCAAGCCAGATGTTTAAACAGTTGTAAAGGTAAAGGAGTGTACCATTGGGAGACCTGACAACAGATTGTCGTGGAGAAACTCTATCCTGTCGCTAGAAGTTGAAAAGTATCTGATGGCACATAACCAATAAAAATACATTTTGTAGCAAGGAAAGATTCTGACTATGGGGCCTCATGAAATCTGTGAAGCAGAGAAATTCATCTGTGCAAGCAAACATTATCACAATAAATTTAATTGCAGTAATATGTATCTTCAGAAAGAATACACAGACTCATGATTATTCAGAGATGATTAATTCATTTAATGCAGAGGTGGGATTCACTTACCTTCCCTACCGGTTCGCTAATGGGAGTGTGTGCACACGCGCACTAGCTTCGTTTGCACATGCCACCTCTGTGCATGCACACAGCTTTCTGTGCATGCGTAGTAATACCGCATTATGTCCAGGCTGATGGGCGGACCCTCCCGCAGTCACCGCTACCAGTTTGTACGATCTGGACAGAACCAGTTGAATCCCACCACTGATTTAATGGCTTTAAGATATTTTAATAGTCCAGCCATTATTAAGATCTGTAATTTCTTTAGGATACTCTTAGCCCTCTCTTTGGAATTAATGTAGTTTCAAGAAAGCAATGCTATACACACACCTGGAAATCAGACCCACTGAACTTTTTAGATCATTCTGGAATGGAGCTGAGGGTGGGAATGGTTGATTCTTGTATGTGCCATTTTCTGGATCTGAATAATTTTTTTTGTAATACCTAGAACATTTTAAAAGCTGCTTTAAAGGTTCTTTTGCAGTGGCAGAGTAACTATAGCTCTGGATTTTCCAGAACATGGCTGCATTCCACTGCTACCTGCTCCAACTGGTCAAGAATAACAACATTCCCCAACTAGTTCAGATTGAGTCACCAGAGTTGATGGCAGTGGCACCCAACGGCAGTAGAGGTGTCTTGCTCAATAGTCAGGAGGGCCCTTCCAAGCTATTGGAAAATGGCAAGGTTGCATTCTGGCGGACAGAAAGGAAGCAGATTGCAAGCAAGCAAATCAGTGGTGGGTTTCAAAAATTTTTACTACCAGTTCTGTGGGTGTGGCTTGATGGGCGTGGCATGGCATGGCTTGATGGGCATGGCAGGGGAAGGATACTGTAAAATCTTCATTCCCACCCCAATTTCCAGGGGAAGGATGCTGCAAAATCCCCATTTCCTTCCAATCAGCTGGGACTCGGGAGGCAGAGAATAAGATGGGGATGGGGCCAGTCAGAATTTTTACTACCGGTTCTCTGAACTACTCAAAATTTCCGCTACCGGTTCTCCAGAACTGGTCAGAACCTGCTGAAACCCACCTCTGAAGCAAATGTATTTATCTCATTTACAAACTGCTGCAGTCCCAACATCCCACACTAAGAGAGGGCCCCATCCAAAGTATGGCTCAGTATCTAAAATTATAAGAATCAGAACATGTCACTCAAGGGGATAACATTGCTGCAAGTTTTAACCAGGCACTAAGAGATATAACTCTTTGCCTCCGCCACGAAAATCAGAACTCTTCCCCAATAAGACCAGAGAGAGAGAGAGTCTGAAAACTGCCCCATCAAATTCAGCTAAAGCTAAGATGGGGGCAGCAGCAGCAGCAGCCCAATTTTGTCTGATTCCGAAACTTAAACTACGTTATGCCTTGTTGGTACTTGGATAGGAAACCCCCCAGAAATCCTAGATCCACTTGCAGACTGGAGCGGAAGGCTGCAAAACCTCTTAGAACAGTGTTTCTCAACCTTGGAAGCTTGAAGATGGG